CCGCCAATCTAGTGATGGCTGTGGGCCCTTTCTCAGGAAATTGGGAAGCCCGGGGCCCATGGTTCCCTGATGCTTGCAAGAGGCACTGCACTTTCTGCCTAAGGATGTGCCCACAGCACGTTCCCCGCAGAGCAGCCTGCTAGCTGTTGCGTCTGCTGGACCACGGGCAGGAGGGTGCAGTTGCCCTCTCCCGAGCCTTGCTCTGAGCTCTTGTGCTTAAATGAGATTTTTAAAGGTCCTCCAACAATCCACTGAACTGCTGCCACAGCCCTCACCAAGCTTCACCCACTGACCCAGGCTGGCCTCCCTATTCTTGGCCAGGTGCATCAGACCAGGGAGTGGGCACAGGCCCGGTCAGCAGGCTCCAGGGAGGCCACTGGCTGCCCCCAGAAGGTGCCCCGTGACTGAATGAATGCAGCTTGGGGGCGTCAGATTCTGCCTGTACCTTCCTGTACATCACAGCTAATCGGGTTCCCTCCTTGTCTCCTTGGAGTAATGGTTACTAGTGGTGACAGCTGAGGCCCAAGGATTCCGCTGTCATTCACCAGCTGCAGTGGTTAGGGGCAGCGTTGGGGTTTTGAGAAACGTGGGAAAGCCACGATGGCCTATCCGGTGAGGGAAACCAAAGCCTCGGGTGTTTTCTAGAATGCCCCTCCCCCGCTCTGAGTCACCGGCTTGCTCCACAGAGGAGAGGAGACATGTGTTCTGATCACTTTTGTCTTCTCGGATTACAGGGCTGTTCAGCCCAGGGTGACTGAGTGGGAGCGTTCTGTGGGTCTTAAATGCTTTCAGCTGAGAGTTTCTGTAGTGTGGTCTCCATAGCACCCGCTAAGCAAGGAGCAGGGGAAGGTGGGGGCAGGGAGGATGCAGGACGCCAGGAGCCTGGCTGCGGTGCCTGCCCGTGGCAGGGACCGGCTTGGGGCGTTTTCTGGGGCCTGTTGCTAAGTCATCAGAGTTGTAGGGTCAGGCACGTTCTGTCCTCTGCACGTCCCAGAGAGCGCGGCCACTCCTGCACATTTGGGGGGTGTCCCTGCCAACAGCGGCCAGAGTGGCCTGGAGGCTGCAGCGGGGGGCGGGGCGGGGGTGTGTGTCCTCCTCCTCCGCCCGTTCGAGGGCAAAGCTCCTCACTTGGCCTGGATTTCTAGGATCTGCCCGTGAAGTGGTGGCCTCTCTCCACAGGGAGGCATCGTCCTGGGAAAGGAGGTCAGGAGGGCCTGCCGTCGTTCCTTGACAGAAGTGGCAGCCAGTGTCCTGGCCGGCTAGCTCTCTGCCCAAGCCAGATGATTGGTGTGGGGACCGTGGAGGAAGGGTCGGCTCTCCAGGTCCTCGTGGCCCCCGCCTGGGCTGGCCCTCCTGGCCAGTGTAGCTCGACGTCTCTCCTGCCCTATCCCAGGCACTTGTGGTCCCTGGGAAGACACTGGATGGCTCTCGTAGCCCCAGGTTCCCTGCCTGAGACCTGAGCTGCTCCTGGCCATACTTGGGGCTCGTTTGAATAAATGGAAATCTTAAAAATAAACCACCACTCCCTCCCTCAGCACGGGAGTCTGCCAGGCAGCTAATGAGGCCAGCGCCCCACGCCATCTCGTCTAGAGCTGGTTTCTCTCCCCTCCAGGGAGTGGGAGCGTTGAGGTGAAAGATGTTACCGCAGCCTGGAAACCCAGAAACCGTCGGCAGGACGGACGGGGACGCCGGGCCGGCACGAGGAGGAGCCGTTCTCAGCAGCGGGCTCAGGGCGGGCGGACCCTGGGGGCCCACGTTCCAGTTTACACTGCTGTCCTGGGGTAACCGCTGGAAGAGGTGCCTTGCCCTCCCCAAAGTCCTGAATTAGGGGACAGTGGGCGGTCTCCCTTGGGCCTTCCTGCATGAGGCTCTGTGCTGATCTCTCAGCGCCTCAGCCCCTCTTGCCTGGGCGTGGGGTTTCCACGTGCCTGGCTCACCCTGCGCCCACCCCTGGCCAGCACTGGAGCAGCCCCCAGGGAGGGTAGGAGGTGGTGACCCCGGGGAAGGGCTGGCCGGCCGGCTGGGGCTTACCCTGGGGTTAAAACCCCAACTCCTTCCGGAGCCTCGCAGCAACTCTTCCTGAGGCTGCCCCTTAAGGGGCTCCCAGGACCCCAGCCGAGCCCCTGTGTGTGCCCCTGTATGCAAGGATGGGCAGGACAGGCCAAGGGAGGCGTCTTTGTTCAGGGCTGGTTGAAGCCTGCAAGGCCACGCCGACGTCCCACTATCCCCTGGACGGGGTAGGACAGCCACGGAGCAGAGCGGGCGTGGGACCCTCCGGGGGATTTTAGTCTAGCATTGGGTATTGTTTAGGTGATAGGGCAGGGGCAGCGGGGGTGTGCATCAGGGTCCCCCTCTCTGTGAGGGAGCCCTGCCCCTTCCAGGCCCTTCTGTCCAGAGGGTGTTCCCGCCCCCAGGCTTCCTGTCCACATAAGGGCTTTGGGTGTGAGCCACTCCCCCTTGGTGGGCGGCATCTGAAGGGACCTCCCCACACAGCACAGCCTTGCCCATGGTGGCCTCCACAGGCCCCCAGTAGCACCCCCCAGATCTGCAGACTTGCTCCCCTACTTCCTGGAGGAGCCACGGTGCAGGGGGGGTTCTGCAGGAGCAGGGGCTGCCGGCTCTGATGCGCACGTGTCTCAGAACCCGGAGGAGAGCACTTGGAGCTGCTGGGCTGCGGCGCTGGGGGCTGCGGCGCTGGGGGCTGCGGCGCTGGGGGCTGCGGCGCTGGAGACAGGGCTGCCCTGGAGGCCTCTCTCCTCCGGCACAGACTTTCTCAGGCACACCCACCCCGAGGTGTGGCGGCCCTGCGGCTGCTCAGGAGGACCAGGGCCGGCTCCTTAAGGAGTGGGGTAGTGGACTGGCCCATTTTGGCTGCCCTCCCAGGGCAAGGAGAGGGGGTTCAGTGTTGAAGGTGGGGTGATCTGCAGGCGTTGGAGCGGGGAGCAGGGTCCCAGTCCTGGTGAGGGCGCTGGGCAGGCCCTGCCTGGGGTAGTGTGCTCACTCACGCTGACTGAGCTGAGCTGTGTGCTGGTGAGAGTGCTGGGGACCTGGGGACGGCCCACGCCCGGCAGGCGGGCCCTCGCCCTCCAGCTGAGCCTGCTGGAGGGGAGGGGAGGGGAGGTGGCAGGAACAGCCTGCACTGCACCCACCGGCTCCGCACCACCCACCCACGCTGAGTCAGAGCTGGTGGAGGAGCCGGGCGGGGGAGGCCGCCCCCTCGTGGCCGCAGGGTCCCAGTCCTGGTGAGGGCGCTGGGCAGGCCCTGCCTGGGGTAGTGTGCTCACTCACGCTGACTGAGCTGAGCTGTGTGCTGGTGAGAGTGCTGGGGACCTGGGGACGGCCCACGCCCGGCAGGCGGGCCCTCGCCCTCCAGCTGAGCCTGCTGGAGGGGAGGGGAGGGGAGGTGGCAGGAACAGCCTGCACTGCACCCACCGGCTCCGCACCACCCACCCACGCTGAGTCAGAGCTGGTGGAGGAGCCGGCCGGGGGAGGCCGCCCCCTCGTGGCCTGGACCTGCCCGTGCCGCCGGAGGGTGGGGCTTGATTCGGCAGAGGCTTCTTCCTGGCCGGCCAAAGGAGAGCGATACCAGCTTGGGGCGGGGAGTCTGTGCCCCGTGTGGAGCATGGAGGGGAGAGAGGGGAGACAGGAAGGGGGCTGGCAGGGCTCCCACGCCCAGGAAGCCGGGCCCTGCAGACCCACACCCAGACGTGGAGGGTCCTGCAGGCCTCCCTGGGACAGCTGCCCCCAGTCTTGCTGGTACTTTGTTACTGAAACTTTCCAGCCTGCAGAGAACGTTCTGCTGTGCCCCAGTATCACGCGGGGTCTTCCTGTGCCTGCGTTCTCTGCCCACCCCCATGGGATCTGGGTGTGAATTAGTCATTCTCCAACACAGTGCCAGCTGAGCTTTCCTGGTCTACCGAGCATTAGGGTAGCTTTTATTAGGTTTGGAGTCCGGGTCCGAGGGAGGTGACCACCGCCACCAGCCTCACCAAGCAACCTGCCAGCATGGTCCCCACATGTACGGCCGCCGGGGCACCAGGGGGCAGTGGCACAGCAGGGCAGCCCCATGGCCAGAGTGAGTCACACAGCCAAGCCCCACACCAGTGCACCAGCCGGGAGGTGTGCTCCCGCTCCATGGGGCCGCCCAGAACTGGAGGTGAGCGCGTGCTGTCCCATCGCTGGCTCATCTGCCTCTCCTGCCCCCTCTCCCACCCCCAGTACATCGACGCCATCGGCAACAAGCAGGGGGAGCTGGAGAGCTACGTGTCCGACGGCTACAAGACTGCTGTCACTGAGGAGAGGAGGAGGTTCTGCTTCCTGGTGGAGAAACAGTGTGCCGTGGCCAAGAGCTCCGCCGCCTACCACTGCAAGGTGGGTGTTCACGCTGCGTGGGCCGAGCCCTTGTTGGCAGAAACGACTGCTCCCCCCGGGAGCACCGGGACGCGCCCAGCCTGGAGTTGTCGTGAAGGAACCTTGTGCTGAACATCCTATGTGTTTCGGATTTCCCCAGGGCGAGAGTTCTGGAAGGAGCGTTACCAGGTTAAAGCTGCAGATGCTTTAAGACTCCTGTTAGAAGTTGCCGGCTGTGTTTTTGAGAGCACTTACACTAACAGCCCACTAAGAGGGTCTCCTCCAGGGATCAAGCTCCTTGGGAGGGGCTGCAGTGCCAGGGCACCCCTACAGAGGCCAGCTTAGGCCCCTTGGGCCAGTGAGACCCAGAGGACACACCTCCCCTGCGGGGACAGGTAGCTTCACTGGGGCTTCTGTTCCTGTAGTCCACAGGTAGGAGCTGGGGTGGGGTCAGAGCTGTCTGCGGGAACATTCCAGAACGTTCTGAGAGTTAGGTGTGGTTAGGCAGCTCAGCCAACCAGGGAGGCCCTCGTTTGTGTCCTTTTTCCATAAAGGGCTTCTGCGGGTCAGCACCTCATACACATGCTTAATCTGACTCAGCTTCTGGTCCCCAGGCTGGAGCTGCCAAGGAGACAGATGCCCTCCCTCCGCGGAGAGGCTCCTGCTTGCCTGGGCCTGCCCAAGGGCCTGCTGCCACCACAGGTGCAAAGCAAGGATGGTGACAGGACTTATGTCCTTTGCAGGGTCGGGGGTCGGGCCACCCCACCGAGTGGGGCTTTGCCGTCAGGTCCTGTGCCCCGAGGGCTCACTGGCAGCAGGGCGGTGCTTGCTGCAGCCGCAGGTCTCCAGCAGGGCCTCCCGCAGCGCCCACGCGGCCCCAGGCAATACTGTGGCAGGCGTATGCGCCCTCTGGCGGCTGGGTCCCGTGACTGGTCAGGGAGAGCGCAGGCCCATCCGTGCCGGAAGGGCAGGAAAGCAGCCCTTTTCCAGGACGCCACCATCTCCGTCTCCTGGGGGGCCTGATCGTGTGTATGCGAGACACGACAGCTAACTTTCCAGGGAGCTGGACACCAGCCCTCTGGTAGGTTTAAAAGAGGCACAAGCCCCCGGGCTGGGGCACCGGGGCACGAAGGCAGGGCCACCCCAGCCTATTCCCAGCAGCAGACGCCCGGCATTACCCTGTGCCTGGCTTCAGGCCCGACAGCGACAGGGCCGTCATCAGGGTGGGAGTCCTGGGCTGCAGCACCCTGATCCTGGGTTGTCCCTGTTAGTACAGGGTCCCTGCTGGCCCGCTTTCTCACCACCAGCCCAGACCCATCAACTAGTTCTCTCAACCAGGAGCCAGTTAGTAAATCTCTCCAGTTTTGGTTATTGCACAGAGAAGTGGCCACAGATGGGTAAACCAACGGTCATGGCTGTGTTCCAGTCAAACCTTGTTTACAGACAAGCAGCCAGCCCTCAGGCGGTTGTTTGTTGGCCCCTGGTTTAAACCAGCAAGTGGTAGAGGGGGCCACGGCCTGCTCCAAAGGGCTGTTTGTCCAGCAGCCTCCAGTTTCCCCACCTCCCTGTCCCAGACACAGGTCAGAAGAAGTGGGAAGAGAGACTTCCCTGGCGGTCCAGTGGTTAAGACACGGCGCTTCCATTGCAGGGGGCACAGGTTCGATCCCCAGTCAGGGAACTAAGATCCCGCATGCCGCACAGCACTGCCAAAAAATAGGGAGGAAAAAAAAAAAAGGGAAGATAAGTGAGGAGAGACAGGGCTGGACAGACCCTTCCGAGGTCCTGGAGACCATGACTGCCCCAAGCTGGGGGGCAGCTCCACCCAGGGGGGTCTGGGGTCTGCAGTGGAACATGGGTTGTGTCACTTGTTGCATGTAGACTTTGGTTAGAGGGCCAGGAGAGGGGGAGGGCACAGCTGCACCCCAGGCCCTGAGTGTGTCCATGTCATGGACACAGGGCCCCTGAATGGGCTGCAGGGAACCTCAGGCTGGTGTCTCACTCTGGCTGCACCCCCATCCTGGGGCCCTGGTCAGGCCTGTGGCTTCCTCATCCTTTGTCAGGCCCTGTGTTCTTCCGGCTAGCTGTGTCCTGGGCAGGCCCTGGTGCACACTGGAGGGACAGCTGGGCTTGCAGGCCCCTGGGTGGTGCCCTGATCGTAGCTGGGCTTTGGGCAGCTCTGCCCCTTCCCCATGGTCCCCTCTGTCCCTGCGAGGTTTCCTGGCCCTCAAGTCTGCCCGAGTGGCGCTCTTCCTAGGATCTCATGGTTTGCCCACAAAGGGCCTTTCTGTTCCGTGGCAGACCACTTGAGCACCTGTCCATTTCAGCTCCCTGGGGCCCCTGGGGAGGCCCCGCCCTGATCAGGCCTTGGTTTGATCTCATTCCTGGGGGTCCCTCGACTACACAGCTCACTGCATCATATCAGCCCCTTTCCCAGGTCGGGGGTCAGGGACTTACAGGTGGCTCATCTGGCTGTAAGGCACCCTACCTGGTGAAGAGCGGCCCTAGTCAGGTGTGCACCTCCCGGGGTGGGTGTGTCTCTTTAGAAGCCTCCCAGTGCCAGGCGGGGGCCAAGGGGCTGCATCAGTGAGGTCGGCAGCAGGCCCTGGGCTCCCCCTGCCCCGCGGGCAGGCTACAGGAGCCTGCGGTCGGCCCTCATTGCCACCCTGTTTGGCTTTCTCCGCTTCAGGGCAAGGAGCTGCTGGCGCAGAAGCTGCCGCTGTGGCAGCAGGCCTGTGCCGACCCCAACAAGATCCCAGACCGCGCCGTGCAGCTGATGCAGCAGATGGCTAGCAGCAATGGGTCTATACTCCCCAGCGGCCTGTCGGCCTCCAAGTCCAACCTGGTCATCTCAGACCCCATTCCGGGGGCCAAGCCCCTGCCGGTGCCCCCTGAGCTGGCCCCGTTTGTGGGGGTAAGTCCTTGCTCTGGAAAGCTTTATGCGGGGGTGGGGGGATGGCCCCCCTTGGCACCAACGGTTAGCATCCCCGTAGCAGCTGGGGTACACCCCTGCTGGGGGCAAGGGGTTCTCCACGCTGGCCTCACCCGGGCCGGGCCCTCCTGCCACACCGCCCCCATGCCGCCTCTTCCCGACAGCGGCTGTCTGCCCAGGAGAACACGCCGGTCATGAATGGCGTCTCGGGCCCCGACAACGAGGACTACAACCCCTGGGCTGACCGCAAGGCCGCCCAGCCCAAGTCCACATCTCCTCCGCAGTCTCAGAGCAAGCTGAGCGACTCCTACTCCAACACGCTTCCTGTGCGCAAGAGCGTGGCCCCCAAGAACAGCTATGCCACCAGTAAGAGCTCCACTGGGGCCCCAGCCCTGCCCCCGCCCGCAGTAGTAACATCACACCTGAGGGGAGGCTGGGGAGGTCCGGAGGCTCGCAAGTGTGCATATGCCTGTGTGCAGCACCCCGGAGGCCCCTTTGAGATTGCCTTCCTGGACCCTTGGGCTTGGCCAGGCTCCCCCATGAAGTGAACATGATAGGGCGGGGCAGTGTGCGGACACCAGCAGCTCAGCTGGTGACAGGAGCAGGTGGATGACGCTGGGGAGGGCTTTGCTGACCGTGGCACAGGTTCCCGCCCTGCCACATCTGCCGTGGTCGGCACTCTCCCTCCTGCAGCCCCACCAGTGGTCTCGGCCCGTGAGGGTCTCCTGATTAGCAGATGGGAAAGCTGAGGCTCAGGCCCAGAGAATCGCCCCTGCTGATGAGTGGCAGGTCAGAGGCTGAATCCACACGCACCCCAGGTCCTTCTGCAGTCTGAGCCAAACAGCCCTGGAGGCCTGGTAGTCGTCCATCAGGATGGACAGTCCACCTCCAAGCCCACCTGGGGCCTCCTGGCATCTCACCATCGGGCAGCTGAGCTGACGGGAGGGTGACCGTGCCCTTACCCGCTCGGGGCAGAGATCCCCCTCACACCTGCCCTGTCGTCCCGGCAGCCGAGAACAAGACCCTGCCCCGCTCGAGCTCCATGGCAGCTGGTCTGGAGCGCAATGGCCGCATGCGGGTGAAGGCCATTTTCTCCCACGCGGCTGGGGACAACAGCACCCTACTGAGCTTCAAGGAGGGCGACTTCATCACCCTGCTGGTGCCCGAGGCCCGTGACGGTTGGCACTACGGCGAGAGTGAGAAGACCAAGATGTGAGTCCTGTGTGGGTGGTGGGAACGTCGGCCTCATGACCTGGTCCTCAGACATCCTGACTCTGGGCTCTGGGTCCTCCTTTGAACTGATGGTCCAGGTCCCACACTTCTGTTGGGAGGGACAGATGTAGCCGAGGGCCCCCCACCGCCCCTCACTTCCACATCCCCTGACTTAGCCCATCACCCCACGTGTGCGTACGCCCTCCTAGTGTGCAGAGGCCAGCCTTCCACCCCAAAGCCTTTCCGTGCACGTGAGCAGCCCTCGTGCTGGGGTTCTAGAAGTGGGCTTGAGCCGGGTGGGCCGTGCCTTCACAGCTTAATTGAACGCCTGTTGCCAAGAGGCCGTGCCAACGCCTGGCTCTTGTTCAGCCAGGGGCCGCCCAGGTCAGGGGCTGTCCCCTCCCGCTGCCATTGCCACCACCATTGTCTGCATGCGCCTGTCCGCAGTGTGAGAGACCCCTTGCCCTAGGGCAGAAGCAGCCTGCCTTAGCCGGGAGGGAGAGGCTGCGCTGAGCTTGGCTCTGGCCCACTGGCAGCCGCCACCCTTGAAGGGCAGCTCTGAGGAGCAGGGGCACCGGCAGGGCACCCGCATCCCCAACACCACGCCTGCCTCCCCCAGGCAGCTCTCACATTGGTGCCGTGGTTCTGTGTGGCCCCTTGGGGCTGAGGCCCTGCCCAGCTGGGCCACGTGGCAGGAAACCGGCCCTGTTAGTTGAAGAAGTAAGAGCCCTGCCTGGGTCCTGGCACCTTCCCTCACCCCCAGCCTGGCTCCCGTCCGGAGCGGGGCAGTTCCGAGCTGGATGCACGCCCCGCGTGGGTGCTGGGGTCTCCTGGTCTCCCTGGAGTGCGCACACGCGTCCCCTCCTCAGGTGCAGGCAGGCCGGGGAACGGGTGGGACTTGGCGCTGGAACGCAGAGGCCCCGGCGCGCTCTGACAGGGTCTGCTCTTCCAGGCGGGGCTGGTTTCCCTTCTCCTATACCCGGGTCCTGGATGGCGACGGCGGTGACAGGTTGCACATGAGGTAAGCATGCCCACAGGGGCAGGTGGCCTGTAGCTCTGGGGAGGGGCTGCGCATTTGAGGCCCTAGGGTGCAGGGGTGCGGAGGTGCTCTGAGGGCGGCGTCTGAGAGCCCCGGGGGTCGCTGCCAGCTGTGGGGGGCAGGGTGGGGGGCCCGTGAGCCCCCCAGGTCCCTCTGGCCCTCGGGAGAGCAGGAGACTCGCTGCCGGAGCCAGCGAGGGGCTGAGCGGCTGCCATAGGGCTCGGCTCCCCTCCCGCCTGCACGCTTCACAGCCCGCTCCTAGGAGGGGGCTGGCCCAGCTGGGCGGCGTGGCTGCACCCCAGGCCCCAGAGAGCAGCCTCTCGTTCCACCTCCCTCGCGGGGCCCGGCCTGAGCTGACAGCCCTGCGCCGCGTCCCCACAGCCTGCAGCAAGGCAAGAGCAGCAGCACGGGCAACCTCCTGGACAAGGAAGACCTGGCGCTCCCGCCCCCCGACTACAGCACGTCGTCCCGGGCCTTCCCTGCGCAGACGGCCGGCACTTTCAAGCAGAGGCCCTACAGCGTGGCTATGCCTGCCTTCTCCCAGGTGAGTTGGGGGCCTTGGCAGGGGCCGTTGATGGGTGGGCTCGGCCGCGGCCCTGTGTTGGCACCTCCGCTGGAAGGCCGTGGGCTCGGGGGTCTGGGCCTGGCACCTGCACCCTTGCTGTGGCCACCTCGGGACACAGCCAGAGTTCTCTATAGTCTCAGGGCTCTAGAGAAGGCACGGCGGCCCCTCCGCCTGCCCTTCCCTCGGGCTGGGGCGCCGCCGGCCTTGACACGGCTCTGGACGCTGCCTCTCGGGAGGAGCCCCTTCCCTGAGAGCCGTGGGGCTCCTGCCGTCACGGGTCCAAGTGCAGACGAGTGCCTGCCACTCAGGGCCTGAGATGTGGCTGGAACCTTCTAGTTAGCGTGTTTCTGGGGCCCTTAGGAGGCAGGGCTGGGCGCACGTGGTCAGGCCACCTGGTACCAAGCGACCAGAGGCAGAAGACTGAGGTTTGGGTCCCCGGTGGATCCCCTGATGGATCCCCCAGTGTGCCTGGTGGTCTTAAGGTCAAGGCGGGGCTGGGGTGTGAGTGTGGACGGTGCTGCACAGCTCTGCTGGGGAAGCTCGTGGGGTGGAGGGGGCCCAGGCTTCCAGGACGTTCATCTGCTGTGGCTGCGTGGTAGGCAGGGGCCAGCAGCTCTGTTCCAGTGCCGCTCTCTAGGGCAGGGCCTCCCTCAGTTTGGGGGTTGGGGGGCCCAGGCAGAGGGGAGAGGAAGAGAAGAGAACTTAGGTTTCTCTAGGGTTTGAGCAGCCAGAGAGTTGACCCAACAGCTGGGGCTCCCATGTTGACAGTGTGATGTCAGAAGTGGGTGAGGCAGGGAAGGGCTCTGGGTACGTGGTGGCCGACTCTCCCTGTCTAGCTGTCCCTGTCCGGCAGCTGTCCTGTCCTCAGCCACCTTCCCTTCCTGTGAGGAGGGCTCAGCTGGCACATGTTGTGTGAGGTGTCGAGGGTGGAGGGAGCTGTCTTCAGGGAATTGACGGCTTAGGCAGAGTGAACACGGGATTCGAGACAATTTAAGTGGTGAGAGGGGCAAGGCCGAGGTGGTGTGGCTGGACCCTTGGATGGAACCTTTCGGAGAAGGTGATGTTGGGACCAATGGCCAGGGCAAGCAGCAGGGAGGGAGAGGCTGATCCCACCTTGGGAGAGGCGTGGCGCCTCGGGGGGCCACAGGGCCAGGCTGCTGAGCAGTGAGACCCTTCAGTCCCTCTGCAGCCTTCCCCAGGCCTCAGCTGGCCTGGCCTGGAGAGGTCTGACCACTGCTTGTTGCTCTCGCTTCCTGGTTGGCTGGTTTTGGTTTTGATGCTTAGAGAGCTGAGGAGGGTGTCCCCAGTGCCCCTCAATGGCTTTGGGGCGGCAGCTGCTTCAGGGCCAGGAAGCTGCGGCTGGGTGTGGGGTGCTCAGGGGCCAGCACAGGCGTGTATGAGGCAGGCGTGCAGGTAACCTTCGGTGCAGCCGCCCTCCCCACGCCAGCCTCTGCCAGCCTGGCTTCCCCAACGCCCCACCGTTAGTGGTTTCAGCCTCTGGGTTCCCCAGGAAGCCCTTACTTGCCAGGTGTTCCTACCATATGACCTGCAGGGCCTAAGAGCCATAGGGAACATGGGTGGAAGGGCGTCATCAGGTGATCTGTCTTGTGTGTGCCTGGGAGCGTGAGCTCATCGTCGGCTACTGGCCAGATAAGGAGACATCCCTGTGAATTGGGGAGGTCACTGCTCAGGAGGGGAGGGGCCCTTCATGTCCTCAGCTGCAGGCAGCACTGCACACCCTGGTGTTAGGAGGGGGCCCTGTGCAGATCTGGCCTCACCCCCTGAACCCCAGCCTGACCTGTTTCTTCTTTTCCTCCCCAGGGTTTGGATGATTACGGGGCGCGGGCCGTGAGCAGGTAAGGGGTTTTGAGACTCATCTTGGGGAGCTGTGGGTTTTGGGGAGCTGTCCCACCAGAGGCTGGAGTTGGGTGGTTCCCCTCCCAGGCCTGCTCTGTTGGGGCCTGGCTGGAGACCATGGTGTCACCACTCTGAGTCAGTGAGCGGGGCCCAGGGTGCCTGTTCTCTGCTCCTCACCGCGCTGTGCCTTCCCCCAGTCCGCTCTGTAGGGCAGGGCCCTCAGTGCAGGATGCCCTGTCCCCTGGCAGCAGCCCAGGGTCCCCAGATAACGCCAAATGGGGGAAGCAGCCCCTCCTGGAGCTGCCTTCGTGCTCCCCTTGCGGGCGGGTGGGTGGCTGGGAGCAAGCCGGGCCTGGCCCTGTGCCCAGGCCGGAGTCAGGGACCCACTGCAGCCACTACTGGGGCTCCCATTCTTTCCTGGTGGGGCCCTTGGGCCGCCCACAGCCGCAGCATGACCCTCTCACCTGGTGGCTTTGTGGCCCCAGTCTTCCCTGGCATCCAGACCTGCTTGTCCAGACCTCGGCCAGGAGGGGGGCCCGCCCCTGGGCTTGTCTCCCCGGAACCAGCCCAGGCCGGTGCAGATGGCTCAGGGCTGCAGCCTCCTGAACCCCTGACCCGGGCTCAGCCCTTATCCGGGCTCTGGGGGTCTCCTGTCACCACTCCCCCAGGGCCGGGTGGCCAGCCGCGCAGCTGGGAGGGCAGCTGTGGGGGAGGTGTGCGGCCCGGCAGCTGTCCTGTGCTTTGTTTCACAGCGGCAGTGGCACGCTGGTGTCCACAGTGTGAGGACGCTGACCCCGGGCAGCCGCTGCTCAGAAGAGCTTCCGCCGTCCCCCCCACCCCGGTCTGTCTGGTCTCCATCGGTTTCCTCCTCGGCTCTCGTTGGTTTCTTCTTGGGTTGTTTCTCTTTCCCACTTGCCCCCTCATCCCCGCCTTTTGGTTCGTGACCCCAGACTCTGTGATCCCCCAGGGTCCATGGTGCTGCCCCATCTCCGCTCCCTATGTTTACACGCCCCCACCCGTGTGTTGGGACCTGCCGCCGGGCAGCGCGGGCGGGGTGTCCTCGCCGCTGCTCCCCATCCGCCGTATTCATGACACGCTGTCCCTCTTTGAAGGCTCACCGTGAGCCAGGTCTAAAAAGTTTGAAGAAAAAGAAAAATCTTTAAAAAACAAAAAAACAAAAGATAAAAAACAGGAAAAGGACTTTTTTTTTCCTGAAAAACAAAAACAGATATGCATGGACTCCGGTGTACGTACTGTTATCTCTGCATCTGACCCCCCAGCACACGCTGGCACCTGTGTCGGGAGAGGGAGGGTGCTGGGGGCTCCACGAGGCTTGTGGCCCCGGGGGCATCCTTCCAGGCCGCACCCAGAGAAGGGCTCAGGCCGAGCCGGGGGGGCCTCCTGAGGAAGCTGGCCGCTCCTGTGAGGGAGGCCACAGCCCCCAGCCCTGCCTGCCCGCCAGGCCGGGCTCCTGACCGCTTCCTAGTCCCGGACGCCGTTGGACGATGTACAGACCAGAGCACGGCACCAGCCTCGGGGCGCCGTGACCGTGACTGCACAGTGCACTGGTGGGGAGGGGGACCGGCCGCACTCGGACATTCCAAAGACCTCCAGAGACCACCCCCAACCCCACGTGTTCTGGAAATCATTTCTTTAACCAGCCTATGAAGGAGTGAGGGCGGCTCTGGGCGCTACACCCCCACACCTGCCGTCGGGGAGCAGGCAGTCCCTGCCCAGTCCTCCCTAAACGCTCTCGTCTCTCTGTGTGTCTTGGTGACTTCAGAAACAGACATGCTGGACTGAGTGGCTGGCTACTGGTATTGCCTCTTCACGCCTTGAATCTGGGAAGTGAGCGAGGGCGCAGCCGCTCCACCCTTCCCGCCACGGGAGCCCCCGTGAAGCTGTGGACGCTCCTTTTTCTGATGTGATTTAGCAAAACCCTCCTGCCCCCTCCCGTGGACTAGGACATGGCTGGTAGCATTTGTGAGAGAAGCAGCTCAAGACGCAGACAGACCCTGTTTTATAATTAAGGAGAAAACAAAGCCAGAACATGGACCTTTGTAAAAAGAGCCTTCTATGTTGGTGTTCTAATTTTGCTAAAAGATCTCAAATCCAGGGGATTCCATGCTCAATGGATGAATGTAGACACAAAACCGCAAAACTTGTATGAAGATGTAAAGTGCTGAAAATATTTTTCCTGTTTCCTTTCGTCTTTTTTTTTTTTTTAATCTGAATTGTGCCCTGTACTGCAGTTGTTTGAATAAAAGTTTTATTTATTGCATCGAGTTGGGTGTGGCACCTCCTTCCAGCCTCTCTGCGTGTGTCCGTGCCACGTGCAAAGCCTGGCCTCCTCGCCGACAGAGTAACCAAGGTGCAGAGTGTGCCAGGCCACACTGCTCTCCCTGGGGGCACCTGGGGAGGCCCGCACCCTGGGTGAGAGCCACGTGGGCCTGATCCAGGGACGCCCTGCTTGAGCTGACATGCTTCTTGGAGCTTCCTCCCTGCAGACCCCTCCCGCGGGCTGGAGAGCCAGCTCTGCCCTGTGGCTGGTGGCACATGCTCCTGGCAGCATATGCTAGCTGCCAGGCGTCCCCCCATCCTCCATCCGGCTTATGTCCCCTCGGAGTCCTCACACCTCACTCCCACCCGCTCCACATGCACCAACCGAGCCCTGTGTTTCCTTGCAGTGCCGATGTGGAAGTGGCCAGATTTTGAGCGGCCCCTGACTAGAGTTAGTAAGTTGCCCTGGTTTTCTTATGCTGGGGTCCGAGGGTCTGCTGAGCCTGCGTCTGCTCTCGGCTCTGGGTCTTTGCCTTCCTGGACCTCTCCTTGGACTCTCGGATTTCCTCCCTCTGGAAGCTTGCGGGTCTGGCCTGGCCCTCTGTCTGGGTTCCCTGTTGCTTCTGCTGGGTGCTTTGGCCATAATCGGGGTGAAGCCTGGTGATCAGCTGCGAGGCTGGCTTTGGGCTCCTTTGGCTGAGTGCCCCTCAGACCGGTCCCTGAGCGTGGGTCTGAGCCCGGCCTGGCTGGCTCCTGGGTTGGTGAGTATCGCAGCCCCCCGAGGGCTGGGGAGACCAGGATGGGTGTGGGGATAGCACCATGGCCTGTGCCCAGGTGAGAGCCACAGGCACACGGGAGCAGCAGCATGCATCTGCCCCGCAGGGGATGAGCAGATGCAGTGGCTCCGTTCTGCCCAGGTTCAGCTGTTGTCTGCCCCGACATGGCTCCAAGGGGCTACTCCAGGCTTTCCAGAGCAGGCCCTGGTAGCCTCCTCCGTACTCCCAACTGGTGATGGTCCCTTCCCCTGTGCCCTTGGAAAGCAAGCGCCAACAGCTGGGGTGAGGGGTATGCAGGGGGAGCCCACTGCTCTGGGCTCCTGTGCCTGGGTCTGGGCAGCACTGCTGCCCCTCTGCCCCACCCCAGCCCTGTCACTGAGAAGTCTGCTGCGTGAAGCTGACACATGGGCCCTGTACAAAGATGGTCATCCCTTCACCTCCTTGGGTGTCACGGAGATGCCATCCTCTCTCCCTGTGGGCAGCCAGACCACTCCAGCAGGTCCTGGACTCTCCCTCTCCCTCCTTCACTGCCTTTCTTGGTATTTTTGTGTGTGTGTGTGTTTAGGCCACACTGTGCGGCTTGTGGGATCTTATTTCCCTGACCAGGGATCAAGCCCGGGCCCCCAGCAGTGGAAGCACAGAGCCCTAACCACTGGACCGCCAGGGTTTTTTATCTACATATATGTTTGGTTTTTTTCCCTTTCTCTTGATGAGTTGCAGTGTGAGTTCCGGAAAACTCTAGAGACAAGTGCTCCTGAAATTGGGGGATGGGAGAAATGACTCTGACCCTGGCTCACCAGTGGGTGACCTGGGCCACTCGCCTCCCCTGCATCTGTTCCTCTTCTTCCGAGATGCTTTGAGACACACCTGCATCTCCCTCCCCCACCTCTGCTGCCCTCGTGGTCCCTCTGAGCTGGTGGAGCCCAGCTGATCTCACCCACTGGAGGTACTGGAAGGGGGTGAAGGCTCAGGGAGGCTCGTATGGCCTCTGCCTGGAACCCCACCCCTGGATGGAGGGCAGAGCCCCAGGGGCATGGCGGGCGGGGGTGCACTCATCCCTGGGAGCACACAGCACGGCGGCCGCAGGCTCTGCCTTTCCTGATGATTCTACCAGGGGCGGGGGTGTCACAAACCACCTCTGGTTGGTTGAGGGACGTTGCTCAGCTTTGCCAGAGCTCACAGCCCTGGGAGGAGGGCCGGGGAGAACGACTCAAGTCCAGAAAGGCCGACGTTCTGAAGTTGTGCCACGTTTTAAGAGGAAAACATGGAGAAAGTTGACTGCTCTTCGCTCCTTCTCTGCATATATATATATATATATATATATATATATATATATATATATATATAAAACAGAAAATGCTGTGGGAATAATACTACTGTCATTATTATAGATTAAGTTGAAGAAGTGAATAATAAGATGAGTTGAGACGTGGACTAAATTAATCCTGATTTAGAGGCTGAATTGGAGTCCTTTAGTTGAGTTTCAGTTACCTCACTTTCACAGGGAACTCGTTGTTTCCTTCCTGAACTGACATCTTTAGAGTCACAAACAGGAGTTTCTGCTGCCTGGACCAAGGGGGTCTTTGGGAAAGAGAGAGGTCTGGGAACACTGACATCACCTTACAGAAACGCCGGGGGCTTATAGGTCCCTGCTTCTGAAAGGAGACCCTTCCACCCCTGTCAGCTGGCAGCCTTGAAGTGACAAACATTCCCTGATGTCTGCTCTGGGCCGGCTCTGAGCAGGAGGCTGGGGGCCCAGCAATGGCCCCGCCTTGTTCCCTGTCTTAGGAAGTGTATTCTTTAGACCTACAAAGATGCAAGTTCCATACAGTGTGACACGTGCCATGGACATCAGCTGCTATTTGCACTGTCTTGTTTGTGGGGTGGGACGTCAGGGAAAACTTAAGCAAGCACTAGGAGGAGGTGTAGAAACTCCTAGGGTGCACCCCGCCGCAGGCCCCCCTCACGATTCCTGCCAGAGCCACATGCTTCTTCTTGTATTACTGATTTAATATTTCTCTTTAAACTGATTCAGGTTTTCTTCACTAAAAGTTACTTTAAAAGTAAATGTTATATACTACAGTAAATAGAAAACCAGTTCCATTTGCCAAAAATAGGAAGAAACCCTAAAAATAAATACAAGGAAAGGAAGTTATTTTATTTTTTTTTATTTTTATTTTTTTTGCTGTACGTGGGCCTCTCACTGTTGTGGCCTCTCCCGTTGCGGAGCATAGGCTCCGGCCGCGCAGGCTCAGCGGCCATGGCTCACGGGCCCAGCCGCTCCGCGGCATGTGGGATCTTCCCGGACCGGGGCACGAACCCGTGTCCCCTGCATCGGCAGGCGGGCCCTCAACCACTGCGCCACCAGGGAAGCCCCTGACATCTTCTTTATTCATTTATCTGTCAGTGGACATTTAGGTTGTTTCCATGTCTTGGCTAGTGTGAATAGTGCTGCTGTGAACATAGGGGTGCGTGTGTCTCTGAATTACAGTTTCATCTGGATCACATGGCAACTCTAGTTTTGGGGGGAACCTCCAGACTGTTTTCCATAGTGCCTGCACCAATCTCCCACCAACAGTGTAGGGAGGTTCCCTTTTCTCCACAACCTCTCCAGCATTTGTAATTTGTAGACTTCTTTTTTTTTTTTTTTTTTTTTTTTTTTCTTGCGTTATGCGGGCCTCTCACTGTTGTGGCCTCTCCCATTTGCGGAGCACAGGCTCCGGACGCGTAGGCTCAGTGGCCATGGCTCACGGGCCCAGCCGCTCCACGGCATGTGGGATCTTCCCGAAACGGGGCACGAACCCGCGTCTCCTGCATCGGCAGGCGGACTCTCAAGCACTGCGCCACCAGGGAAGCCCTGTAGACTTCTTAATGATGGCCATTCTGACCAGTGCGAGGTGGTACCTCATTGTAGTTTTGATTTGCATTTCTCTAATAATTAGCAATGTTGAACATCTTTTCATGTGCATGTGGGCCATCTGTATGTCATCTTTGGACAAATGTCTAGTTAGGTCTTCTGCCCATTTTTCGATTGGGTTGTTTGGTTTTTTGTTGTTGAGAGGTGTGAGCTGTTTGTATATTTTGGAAATTAAGCCCTTGTCAGTTGCATCATTTGCAAATATTTTCTCCCAATCTGTAGGTCGTCTTTTTGTTTGTTTACGGTTTCCTTTGCTGTGCAAAAGCTTGTAAGTTTGATTAGGTCCCATTTGTTTATTTTTGCTTTTGTTTTTATTGCCTTGGGAGACTGACCTAAGAAAACACTGGTACGATTTATGTCAGAGAATGTTTTGCCTATGTTTTCTTCTAGGAGTTTTATGGTGTCATGTCTTAAAAGTCTATAAGCCATTTTGAGTTTATTTTTGTATATGGTTTGAGGGTGTGTTGTAACTTCGTTGATTTACATGTGGCTGGTCACTGACCCTTTCTGATGAGACTGTAGGTGCGTCAGGACACACCCGGCTGGAACTCCCTTTTGCCCCTGTCTCTGGTCAGCACAGGCACCATCCTCCCTTCTCTGGGTCCCTTCCCCTGCTGGGTCCCCGACTCTGGATGGACAAACCTGTCCCGTTTCTAGCCCCACAAGACCCCCCGCCATGACCCTGGCTGCAGACCACCAAGGGCATGGAGCCCTCCTCTAGGACCAGAGTCCAGTCAAGGCGGCCACCCCCATGGCTGCCCTGCATCCTCCGTCCCTGGGCAGTTGACGCTGGTCACAGCAGAACCTCCGTTTCAGAACCTCCAGGCTGCCCCTGTCTGGGGCCAGTGGGGCCAAAGCACATCTGCTCAGACCCAAGCCTGGGAGGCCAGAGAGGACCTGAACGAGGGAGACTGAGGCCCCGCCGGCTGGAAGGGCCCTTCATCAGATGCAGATGTTCCGAGGCAGGGGTGGAACGGCTGCAGGTGCTGTCAACTGTCAGGCAGCATCTTGGAGATGCAGAAGCCACACGGTGCTCCATCAGTCTCCTCTCACTAGTTCATCCTTTGGACTCAGTTGTTCAAAGTGCCTCAGTGTTTTTAGAAAATGCCAGGTCCTCAGGCAAACACAGGGTTGCCCACCCCACGTTCTATCTTCCTGGGCACCTGGACAGAGCGCCCACCCAGCTCCTGTGGATGCCCAGCCACGTCAGAGGCCACTCCCGCCCCAGGTAACGGCTCCCGTTCAGGCCGAGCCCTCCGTGTCCCACGTGCCATCCGTGCTGTCACCCTTGGGACTGCCTGACGTCCCCCGGCCTGCTCTCCTGTGCCGTCTCCACCTGGGCAGGTCCTCGGAGCCCACCGAGGCGGAGAGGCCTCCGTGAGCACGAGGCCAGGTGCCGGCCCCACCCCGCACTCATCTCGTTCCATCTCAGCCCCTTGTCTGGTGCGTCCGTCTGTCTGTCAGCTGCAGCCTCGGCACGCAGGGGCAGGCACGGCTCCTCTCTGAGGAGGCGGTCAGCCCCTCCGCAGGGGCTGCGGGCGTCCACTCCTGCCAGCCCCGTTGCCGCTGGGGTGCCTGCACCTCGTGTCTGTCGTGTCGGCATGGGACGGGCCACTCTCTGGGCCCCCAGGATGCATGGGCTGGGCTTGTGCGCTCTGCTGAGCTGTGGCTCTGTGTCAACAGCTGTGTCCTTGCAGACGGGCTCAGCTGCTGCTCTCGGGCAGGTGGCGGCGGGGGTGCTTGGCCTTGGGGGGCGGCGCACCGAGCTCGGGTGCGGCTCATGTGGGGCTGCCTCAGCTTGCAGAGAAAGGACCAGGGCTGATGTGGCGGGGCCCCCCCCATGCCCACCCACCCTGCCTTTGGGAGGGTTGACGGTTCGAGGTGGGGCACCTGGCGGGGGTGAGCAGAGGGCGCGCTGGGGCTCAGCTGGCCTTGCGGGGCCTCTGCCACCCCCGGGCCCTGAGCTCAGAGGCTGGGTCATCGGGGTCCAGGCGGTGCCATCTGTAGCCGCGGGGCGGCACTCGGCTCCCCTCCCGGAAACCACTGAAACCACTCTTCTCTTCTCAGGAATCCCTTCGCCAGCGTCCAGCTGAAGCCGACGGTGACCAATGACAGGTCTGCCCCGCTCCTCAGCTGACGGCCACGTCTGCACCCACTGCCCGCGGGGCCCCTCCTCCCACACCCTGACCTGTAACCTGTTTTGTTACAATCTGCTTGCTCCCCATTTAGAGAACTCTCTCCTTCCAAGCCCTTCTGCCCCCACCTCAATCTGGCCTGCGCCGGACCCCGGCTGTTCCTACAGGGTCAGGAGGATTCATGGCCACGGCCAAGGAGAGTGAGGGGGGCTGGCCCCTGGAGCGGGGACCTGCTGCCTGGGCTGTGCGGCCGACCTTTTGGATCAGGCTCATCTGTTGTGTGGGCCAGGGAGCCCCCAAGGTGCAGGGAGGGCCATCGCATCAGCTTGCAGCTGTAAGGGGAGCCCCTGTCTGGTCAGTAATGAGGCCGCCCACCTGTAGTCCGCGCCTGCAGCAGCATATGCAGGGGCGAGGGGGGGCGGGGGCGGGGGGAGGCGGAGAGCGAGGGCCTGCCTCCCTTCCTTGGATTTAGTATGAGCACAACTTCCTGGCAGACCCTTGACTGGGGCTCTGCTGGGTCTCCCCGCTCCCCCTGGCAGCTTCGTGGGCCTCTCGTCCCAGTTTCTCCCTGCCCGCACCCCGACTCCCATCCGGAACTGGCTGCCGGGCCCCCAGCTCTCCTCCCTGTCCCCAGGGTGGCCGGTGCTGTGGCCTGGCTCCCCAAGCTGTGTGCCACTGGGGGGGTCCTGCCCCAGGATTCCTGGGTGGGCCGCCTCAGTGCTCTGGCTGTTTCCATATTTCAGCTGAAATATAAGGTTTTAGAAACTTTATCGGATCCGTGCTGTTTGACATTTAAGGCTGAAATACAGCCGTGCTAACCACGTTGGTGACAGCAGTCCTTACCTCAGGAGACAGTTCAGTTCAGTTCCGGGCAGCGTTCGCTTGCTCCTCCCAGACCCTCCCAGGAGGGGCTCTGCGCACAGCCCAGAACGCGAAGCACAGGGGGCGGGGCCCCAGAGGCTCTCAGCTTGCAGAAGCTGGAGGCAGGCCGGGTGGGGCGAGGCAGGGTCACAGGGCAGATGGATGTTTGTGGTGGAGGGGCACAGAAGCCCCACCTCCTCCCAATCCACCTTGCTCGCAGCTCACCGCCCCCTCACCCGGCCTCCCCGTGCTGAGGGACAGGGGCCACCCCTGGAGAGGCAGGAGGAAGAGCTTCCCAGAGAGGTCCCCTCTCACCCTTACCTAGGCAGGGCCCGCTTCCACGCAGGAAGTGAGGGCTGCAGGCGTCAGTCCGCCGGCCCTGTTCTGGGAAGACACCCCAACCTGGGCACCCCAGGGGCCCAAGGTCACTGTGTCCCTCCACCAAGGTGTGCCAAGGACAGCTAGAGGAAGGGGTGGTCTCCCTCCTGCATCCCCCAGTGGTCAGAAGGGACTATAGGGACCCCACCCCAGCACGGCCCATGCCCCCTCCTGCCCAAGGCGTTATCTGCAGACTCCAAAAGAAAACACGCTTAAGCAGGAAGGCTTTTTTCCTTAGCTTTGATCTCTCTTAAAAAACAGACAAGAAAGGAACAAGACGATCATTGTACCAGCATCATAAGCCTCAAATAAACAAAAAACAAATTCAAAACAAGTCCCCACCCACACCCCAAAAGCAACAACAAATTTTACGTCTCTTTGGCAACAATAACTTAAAAGCATCCCTCTTCCATCTGTTCTGACAACAGCGTTACAAAAACACCCCCTGTGCTGCCCTGCCCCACCCTCCCTCCCAGCTCCGCCCCTTCCCACTATCTCCATCCCTGCGGTAGGAGCCCCTTGACACTGACCGTGGGCGGTGGGCGGCAGTCGCCACTTTCCTTTGGCAGCTGGGCCGGGCTGGGCCCTACCTTGCAGAGGGGAGCCACAGGCACCTCTAGACAGGGGCTGAAGCAGCAGGACTGCGACCTGAAAGCCCCCCATCTTTCGGGCTGCCCACCTCAGTCCCCTCGCAGGGCTCCAGTGGGACCCAGGCAGGAGCTGGCCCAGACCCTGTGGGGAGGGAGAGCTTACGGTCTAACTGATGCAGTGAAGGGGAAACAGCCACAGACTTGGAGCGGGGACACACGAGCCCGGTGTCCTCTTCTTGCACTGAGCAAACCCTGAACCAGCAGAAGGGGCAAAGGGGGCAGGGAGAGGCCGTCCTAGCAGGCCTGTACCTGCCCTCTCACCTGGGATGAGGACACAGCAGCCTGCAACACACCACAGGAACCTGTGGGCAGGGCGTGCGAGGGCCCCTGGCCTCAGAGGCCAAGCAGTCTTGACAGCGGGGGCCAGGGGGGAGGGGGCAGCTTCAGGGTGAGGGACGGCTGTAGGGCATCCCTAGGGCCTAGCAGCAAGCCCAAGTGTCCAGGACAAATCCTGCCCCCAGGGCAGCACAGGGCTGGTGGGCACAGATGCTCTAATGTCCAGCGCCAGAGAGGGGCCTCTTGTCCTGCCCTGCTCCTCCAGGGTGCTGCATGGGGCACCGAAGCGCTTGGAAGCTGCTGCTGACCGCTGCCAGGATGAAAGGCCCCACCACTCTTGGTCACCAGCCTCGCTGCTGCCGGGAAGAGAACCGGCAGGGGATCCAAGCAAGGGCTGCCTGGGGCTCAGGCCTCTTTACAGCTGCCCCCAGCACCTGCTGTAGGACCTGGCAAACATGTTTAGGGAGACACTGGGGCCACAGGGACTCCTGAGAGCACCCTCCCCTCCAAGGACAGCCAGAGTCCCCTCCCCCAGGGCTTTCACCTGGCCTCAATCCCTGGCTTACGGGCCACTGAGCAGCTGGGGCTGCAGCAGGCCTGCCTGCCTATCTAGGCAGGAGCCAGACGATTATCCTTCCCACCACATCACCGGGGGTCGGGCCCAACAAAGCTCAGCATCAGCCCTCTGAGTCCTCTTTTTACAGGTGGGAAAACTGAGACCTGAACAGGACTGGGCTGGCCAGGGTCACATACTCGCCTCCTAGCGACCTGCTTGCTTGTTCAGATATCCATTAAGGGCACACTGTGTGACACAAACAGACCAGCACATCCTTCCCTAGAGGCTGCAGCCACATGCCAAGGGCTGCAAGGGAGGGGATGGGTCTGCCTGGGGGACAAGATAACTAGGGGCATCTTAGTGGAGGTGAGCTTTCAGGGAAGCCTAGCAGGATGGGGTGGTGGCAACTGGGCAGGTATGAGCCCACCTGGTCTGAGGTTGACAGGAGTGGAGCTTGGAGGGAGGAGTGAGCTAAGGCCCCTGAGTAGGGCCCCCCCACCTGGGCACCTGAGCCACCACCACCATCTCTGGACAAGCCATTAGATCTGAGATGGGGGGCTGGTGGATGAGGCAGACCAGCAAGGGCTGGCAAGATTCTGGCAGGAGAGGCTGCTGCAGTTCAGAGAGCAGGGTGGGGGGCACTCAGTGTCCAGCCTGGTGCCTTCGGAGGAGGGAGAAAAGAGCGGGGCGATGGGGGCGCAGGGAGTGGGCAGCCAGCCTACATCCTGAGAGTGCTGAGCCAGCTTTGTCTGGGGCACTGCATCTCCTCAGGGCGGTGAGGAAACGTGCCAAGGTGGCCACAACAAACAGGCCCGGCGTGACCTGACCTCTCTGAGCCTCAGTTTTCCCGTCTGAAAACTGAGCTTGTCCAGAAGACGAGAAACAACGAGCGCAGGACCTCGTGCCCAGCAGGTGCCCTTCTCAGCCGCCCTCACCACTGTCCTGACTCGGTATCCCCTCCCGCCAGCCCCACCGCAGCCTCACCTCCCACGGACCCGGAGTCCGAGTCGGTGACGTGCGTGATGGAGAAGCGGGACGCAGGCGCTGGTGAGACAGTGAAGCGAGATAAGGGGCTGGGCTTGGCGGGCTTGGGGGGCGCAGCGGGGATGCGCGGGGCAGGCTCCTGGGCCGGCGTCAGCGGGAGGCCATCGTCCCACTCGAACCCTCCGCCTGCGAGGGGCCCGCCGTCAGTTGTGGACCGGATGGCGG